GTTACTCAGGCAGTAACGTGGACACTCGAAGAAGGTCCCTCTTAGAAAGTACACAGAAAACTGGGGTTGGTGGTGTCACTTGACAGCTGCTTTAGAAAAGCAAAAAAGAGCATTTAGCTATTTTTTTTACTAATTGTAAAATATTTAGTCACTTATAATAATTTTTGTGTCTTTGGCTTATTTTTAGTCCACGAGGCTTACACCCATGAGTCCTTAAGGAGCTTATCTCAGTCACAGCCTAGTGTATAAAGTGTTATAGTACCCATGTAGGAGCCGCAGTATTAAAGGCTCATTAGATCTTTTCCCAGAGGTTTCCCATAGCCAGGCACACAGTTAAAGTCACTATTTTAGCTCAATGAACAGTCTAGGCATATGCTTTTCTGATGCATTATTGTAGAACTTAAACTTGGATAGGTTCAGGGTAACTGTGGTATACTCCAGTAACTCTTAATAGCAACTAGAGGACACTAAGCTTTCTTCTTTAGGGATATGAGAAAACTTCTTGCACAAGTAAATGGTGGACTGAGCTTTGAAGTAGCAACTTCAGGATATTCATCTTCCATCTACAGATATGAGCAGAGTCCTCTCAGTAGAAATGGACTGAGCTCTTCAGGACACATGATCCAATGTCCCATTTGAACACAGCTGACTCTATAGCAATAGAGGGGTGGTAACAGCACACAGTCTCAAGGATCTCGCACACCAGCCTGCACTCTCCAATGTTCCTGGACAATTGGTAGCCTCCTTCCACTGTCCTCCAGACACCTTTTCTCAGTGATACTAGATCAGATCCTCAGACGAAAAGCCCCTCAGTCAGCTCTAGCAATCTTCCGCAAAGTAAGCCCCCCAGCTAGCTCAGCTAGGACCGTGATGAATTTGTGCAGCACAGTGGCTAAATGGTTAGCACTTCCGCCTGGCAGTACTAGGGTCGCTGGTTCAAATCCCAGCCACCACCTGCCTGGAGTTTGCATGTTTTCCCTGTGCCATTTCCTGCTTGTGTAATTGGCTCACTGATTTTCCCAGAAGTCTGCACTAAGATACAAGTCAGAGTTTATGTATCCTCTGTAGAATACATTTCACTTTTGCTGAGATACTCCGAAAGAGAAAACACATCTAAAGCGATGCAGACCCTGCTACTTTCCTAATTGGAGCCCTGAAGGTGCAGCAGCTGATTGATAATTATGAAACCACTCACATACAGATTCACTCTGCACATGGACACAGACAAACAGGTATTTCTTCAGAATAACAAAAAGTAGGACTCTGCAACAAAGTTTGTTAAAATCCCCGCAATGTACATAGATCACCCAGAGGGGAAGGTTGTTGTTTTATTTTTGTCAACCAGAATAGAGTCACTCTTTAATTATTGACTATGTATTGATTAACTATCTAGACTGAATTGGCCATCACGCCTCACCCCTACTTGAGCAACTAATCTAAGCTAAAATTCCCTTCCAATTGGGGTTGGGGCATCCACCAACTAAAAACTTGTGAACATTGGATCAATACATCTAGTACTGCCCTTAATGAGCAGAACAATCTAGTCTGAGAAAAGCATAGAGTATTAGGCTAGTCATACATTATACAATTTTCTTCAGAAATTTGCTTTAGATTTACCAAAAACCATATATTATGAGGTCAAACCTAACAACACTTTCAATTGTATCCAATTAGGCAGGCTCTTGCACTACAAAGTTGAAGGTAAATCTACAAGAAATTGGGCAGAAATTAGACAGAAAATTGTATAGTGTATGGCCAGCCTTACCCCTATCGTATCACCAAAACCGGCCCAACTCATAAATGTTTTTATTTCAAGCTGTGTACAGGTATTGAGGGGTTTCTATGTGGTAGTATTCTAAGAATTTATTATATTTTTAGAAATTCACTAAACAAGCCCTTTTTTTATATAAAAATCTTTTATAATATTAAAATTATTATTTATTTTTTTGTTGTGAAATTGATTGTTGTAGCATCTGAAAAGTCTAATTATGTTCTAGAAGTCTAATTATGTTATAGATATGTATTTTGTATTGATTAATAAAGTGGGGACAGGGTTGAGACCTCTCTATATTTTTTAAACATTTTCCTTTCCTTCAGTCCCTGTCTCAGGAAGTGATAGAAAACCTCACCAATGTGGAACCAATCGGTAGTAAATAAAACAAGCCTAGGAATGCGCTAAAAAAAAAACACATAAAAAGTGTCCATAAATCAATATGTGGAAGTCCAAAACATCTTAAAAATATAAAGTAACTCTTGTGAAAAAAGATATAAAACACCGTGAGCAATCCACCACCGAATAAATAGAATGCACTCACCAGAGCTAAGTGCTGATCAAATTATAGACCAGCCTTAGCGCTTTTGCTCTGGGAGCGATGAAAGCAGCAAACTCCAGACTTTTGGTGCAATACTCTGCAGTGGTAATTTTCAGCTGGAAGACACCCCTCTGTAGTATAGGCAGATTTTTTTAGGAGGAATACTCTGCGACCACTCTTTCTTGAGTGAGTAATCACCATAGCTCCATGTGCATTGGGACCATATTCAGAGACAAAAGAAGAATAATGGTGCAGCATGTCTTTACAATATATGTTTATTAAAAGATTAAAAAGCTACTCACAAATAAGGTGTCTAAACTGACACCAGCATCGATCACATAGGCAAGGAAAAGAAAACAGAAGCTCCACTCAATTCAACTGTCTTCCGACAATCGTCCTGACATCAGCCTCTGACTGGCCCCAACCTACGCGTTTCATCACCACGACGTCCTCACGGGGCGGTACAAAAATAGAGATAGTCTTCTATCTAATAGGAAGATCAAAAATGACAGAACAGATGTTTCATTCATCACTAATTTCAACAATCAGTATAAGAATATAGAAAGTATTGTAAAATAATATTGGTCAATATTACTTAAAGACGAGATATTAAAAGAAATTATTCCTCAGAAACCGAATTTTATTTACAGAAAGAATAGATCGTTGAGGACGAAGTTAGTCCATAATGTATTGGATCCACCTAAAGAAACAAACCTCTTTCCAGAGCTTCAAGGCTTCTTCCATTGTAACAAATGTAAAGCGTGCAATACAGTTAATAGAACCTCAAGGATAAAAAGAAAGAACTTTGTTTCAACTTTTTCCAATAAAGAGTATAAATTCGACTCATTAATCTCATGTAATTTGTCTCATGTCGTTTACGTTTTTTGGTGTGCCGTGTCACCTCCAGTATGTAGGGAGAACAGGAAGACTATTAAAAACTAGGATTGGTGAGCATTTGAATAATATTAAAAAAGGTTATGACAAACACAGCGTGTCCAGACATTTTAAACTTAAACACAATAGTGACCCAAGATTAGCAGCCTTGTATGGGATTGAAAACATAAAAAAACATTGGAAAGGTACAGACATGATTAAAGAGATATCCAAATGGGAGACGTTTTAGATATATGAATTAAATTCCTTGAAACCAAATGGTTTGAACATAGACATCGACTTAAACTGTTTTTTAACAAATTTTTAGTTCTGGTATTTAAGAGATTTGGTTATTATAGGTCTAGATTATGGAGAGTTTATTAGTGATATATTTATCTATTTCCTGCATTTTTTTATAAGGTAGGGTTAATTTGTTAAAATGAGATGATTTTGTTATATTTTGTTATATTTGTTTTATTTCTTAATTTTATGTTTATTTTTATTTATTTTACTTTTTTGTGTTCATATGTGTTTGTCGAGTATTATATTCAACTAACTAAATATGTGCTAATTTTATTTTATTTGAATATTTGTTTATCATTTTATTATATGAGTAGAGTGGTGCTTTAATGGGGAAGTATGGCCCTTTAACCAGACTTTGTGCTGTTTTGGGGTGATAAATAGTTTTCCCATTTTGGCTTATTAAGAATTCACATATTTATGTATAGTATCATATATATTTACCATGGCATTTGATCTGTATTATATGCACACTATATGCTATGGTAATAAAGTATTGCCGTATTATCCGAGCGGTGGTTTGTAACATAGCGCCGCTGAGATTGTTTTGGACTTCCACATATTGATTTATGGACACTTTTTATGTGTTTTTTAGCGCATTTCTAGGCTTGTTTTATTTAATGCCAAAGTAATTTTTTTTAATTTGGAGTTGCTGCTATATATATAATTAATTAATTGTGTCGCTTTTCTAAGATCATTTTAATCAGTAGTAAACATTTGATAGATATTCTGCTACTCCAACACTATCCAAAACTTAAAAAAAAAAAAAAAAGATGGAGATCTACTCTAAATTAAATAAGCCTTCAAGTTATTTAAAATACAAAAAGAATTATTTTATGTTGTCTACAAAGTCCTATATAGTAGTACAGTATATTATATACAAGTCTATTGATTCGCACAGGAGCATACATTTTGAATGAAATACTGAGAGCAATTTAATTATATACAGTATATATTTGTGTGATAAATAAAAGAAATGTAAATGCTCTTATTTTATACAGATGCACTAAATACTATTTACACTACTATAATAATACTTAATATTCATAATCATAATAATAGCAACTATATATATATAGTAAAAAATTAATACTTTGATTAACAAAAAGCAAAAAACCTAAGGTATTCATAGGGTTACAACCACTTGTAGTACATGTGTTTGTTTATTTATTTATTTCTGTACTCATCAATTTCCTCTTTGGGGTATATTATGTAACTGTCTGGGAACAAAATCAGAAAACTTGGCATCAACTACAAAAATTTTGAAAAAGGATCATAAAGACTGGAAAAATCCTGAAAAAAAAAATAAACTACTGCTTGTACTGCATTGTGCTTGGTTTGAATTAAGTATTTAAGCAGACAGTATTTCCTTGGAGGGAGTGTCCCTCTGACCAGCCCCCCTTCTTTCTGCAGTGTCATCCATATCTGAGGTCACCCATTAAAAAAGAGCTGCACAGCCTCCCTTTATCAGTGTCTTGCAGGACTTAACAAGAGCATAGCTACAGTTCTGCCATCATGTCTTTCGACACTAATATGAGGTTTAAATTTTCCATATTGGCTATTGTACTTCAGATAATCCTAATAATTTTATTTGGGATATTTGTGCGATATAAAACCGAGGACCATTCATCATCTCACAATGTCACCCAAAGTGATGACACCTTCATTGATCTATATCCATGTAAGTAGAAACATTTAATTCTGCATGTTTTTTTTTTTTTGTGTAAATAAGTATGAAAAATAATTAACTAACTTACATTCTGAAATTATGGCAAATTCATCTAAAATGTGTTTATACCAGGTAAATACATACATGGTTACGTGAGTCTAATCTTTATTGGATATATATGTATGTATATATATATATATAAAATATATATATATATATATATATATATATAATATATATATATTATATAATTTTTTTTTTTCCAATTATTTAATTTGATTGTTATTAATATTTTGGGTAGCAGCGATTGAAGTAGAACTTTTATATTATTATTTTTTATTATTATCGTTGCTCTTATTATTATGATGAACATTATGATGTTTCTTAGTAGTAGTAATTGCAGTAGAAGTAGTAGAAGTGGTATTTTTGATTTTAATATGAGGAGATGATGATGATGATGATGATTATTATTAGTAGTAGTAGTAGTAGTAGTAGTAGTAGTAATAAAGATAGTATTAGTAGTACCAGTAGTACTATGGTTGCTTTAGTGTTATTATATGTTTAAAAATATCATTATCATCATTAATATTAGTAGTAATTATAGTAGTAGTACCAGTAGAGCTATTGTTGTTTTAGTGTTATTATTAATATTATTTTTATATTATAATTATTATTATTAGTAGTAGAAGTAATAATAACAATAATAATGTTAAAAATATTACCACAACAAATGTATGCTTTATCTATAACTCTAGTTTTGTGCCAAATTAATACACCAAAGCAGAACAGTGCTATGAAAATGTATTAAATAGCATCCATTACTTTGCTTTGTACAGAAATTGGAATTATATACTGTATCTTATGGGAATAGCCATCTCCAAATAACTATAGAGTTCCGCATGCGCACAACATTACACTGTGTCTCCAGTTGCCATATGATAATAACAACACATGGATATTCATGACTGGGAAAAGGGGTAATGTCTCTAGACCAGAGGTCTCCAAACTTTTGAAACAAAGGGCCAGTTTACTGCCCTTCAAACGTAAGGGGGGCTGGATTGTGGCCAGTGGGAGTAGAAAATGCCCTGGCATCAGTGGGAGTAAACAATATCCTAGGCTTGGTGGTCAGTCAGTCTTGGTGTCAAGAATAGTGCCCCATCGTTGGTGCCAGTAGGGTCATTAGTTCCCCATTTCTGGTATCAGTGGGAGGAACAGTGCCCTGTAGCTGGTGTCAGTGGGAAAACAGTGTCCCATCACTGGGGTTAGCAGGAGGAACACTGTCCCATCACTGGTATTAGTGGGAGGAACAGTGCCCTGTCGTTGGGATCAGTGGGGAGGATCAGTGCCGCATCGTTGGTGTCAGTGGGAGGAATAGTGCCCCATCGTTGGTGTCGGTGGGAGGAATAGTGCCCCATTGTTGGTGTCAGTGGAAGGAATAGAGCTCCATCGTTGGTGTCAGTGGGAAGAATAGTGTCCCATCATTAGTGTCAGTGGGAAGAATAGCACCCCATCACTGGTATCAATGGAAGGAATAGTGCTTCGCATCAGTGGAAGGAAAAGTGCCCCAATGACCGGATAAAAGCAAGCAAAAAGCCACATCCAGCCCGTGGGCCGCAGTTTGGAGACCCCTGCTCTAGACCATGAACAGATGTAACTGAACAAAATAAGTAATGAATACTATTTACTATGAATACAATATACTTATTTTACTGCCCTAACTTAGAATAATACTTCATCAGAAAAGTGTTATTTAGCAGCAATGTCCAAATTTTTTCATGATGACTGTTTTAAAGTAAACCTGCCAAGGGGGGTTTCCATTGCTGATCTTCTTCCAAAACCTAAACCAGCCATAGATGGATTGAAATTTGGCCAATTCAGCAGGAACCAGTCAAATTTCGATCCATCTATGTGCAAGCTGGTTGTACTGAAGTTATTCTATTGATCAACTTTAGTACAACCAGTCTGTCTTTTTTTTTTTCATTTGATCACAGTGGGCGGGTATAGCCCTCAGCAGTGGTCACTGTATTCTGCTGGCAGGAAAACCTTCCACTTTCAGAGCACAATATCTTCACAGAAGGGATTCCCTCATCAACGCTGATGGGGAAATCAAGGAATTTTCAGGAAAAAAAGGTTGCACGAAAAAAAAATTACGTGATGTATGGTCAGCCTTATAGTTAACTGGCTGTCATGTTAATCCTTTGGCTTCAATATTTTTTGAGTTGCTGTCCCGGAACAAGCATGCAAATGAGGTAAGCAGCTTTGAAGCCAGGTTCTTCATATGCATTTCTGTTCCAGGTCAGTGACAAATCCTGACAGAAAGACAACTAGTCTTTTTATAGTTTTTCAGAAGGAAAAATAGTGAATCGCAGACTCCATGTTTTCTCATGACAGGTTTCCTTTAAAGTGGTTGTAAACCTTTACATATACCCAGTGAAGTGAATGGCTTCAGGTGATACACACAGATGAAACCAATCCTTCTACATAGGTTGCATCTGTTTTTCTGCAGTCTTCTCTTCAGCTTTTCAAAGTGCTGAATTTATAAAGCTTGTCTGGGAGTTCAAACAACAGGAGGCAGAGAGCTTAAATTACACACTGCAGAGCTTAGTTAAGAGAGCTCTGAGAGCGGATTGGAGGGAAGAGACACACCCCCATTCACTCAGCACACAGGAACAGAGCTGAGGCTGTCAATCTGCTAAAGATCCCTCCCCTTCAGGGGCGGACTGACAACTCATAGGGCCCCCGGTCAATAGGGGATCATGTGGCCCCTGTGTCCTTGCCCAAACTCAAAAAAGCCTATGAAAAAGGTACCAGGGGCATCTCATGGGGCCCCCTACTGACCCCGGGCCCTCGGGCAGTGCCTGTGTTTCCAAATGGTCAGTCCTCCCTGCTCCCCTGTCACCATTTTTCTCTTGGTGTCAGGAAAACTTGTCAGAAGAAAGTCATACTGATAGCAGAGAAATGAGGCAGCAGACAGAAATAACACTTAGTGCTATTAAAGTGGTAGTAAAGTCTTGTGTGACAATTTTACCTACAGGTAAGCTTAAAATAAAACTTACCTGTAGGTAAAATGTATATTCCAGCAAGCAGCAGCCGGTGATGTCACCAATGCATAAGCTCTGAAGGAACGGCATACCCATGCTTCTCCTTCAGAGCAATTCCTGGGGTTCTCAGGATGTCATCGCGGCTCCTCAGGGCAACGATATGACGTCATCGTGGCTCCTCAGGATGTGGCGTGACGTCATAGAGGCTCAGCCAGTCAGATGGCCAGAGCCCACAAACCCGGAAGGAAGACCAGGTGAAGATGGAAGTCCTGTCAGCGGTGGAGAACTTTGTTTTCAGCTAAGTCTTTCATAATGTGCTAGTACGTGATGCATACTAGGACATTATGCCATTACCTTGCTGGTGGAAACCATTTTTTTACTACTGCTTTAATTGAGACACTATACTGTAGTGTACTGTACACACTATAGAGGGATATGCTTTGTTCATATTTAATGTTTGAGGTTTACAACTACTTTAAAATGGAACTAAAGGAAAACTTGTTTTTTCATTTTGGTTAGAGCAAGGAAGGGTTATAACCCCTTTCAGTTTTTAATGCCATATCTGGCCCAATGGGAAGATTTCCCTTCACGTCTTGTCCAATAGCCACAACAGGAATTAGGAGGAAATCCCTTCCAGGTCAGGAGATCCCTGGTTGTCACCAGGAATGTGTCTCCATTGGAAAATTCCTCTCTATTCCTGTTCTGGTAATAGCCAAAATTTGGTATTCTCTTTCACTTTTGGGGATAGCAATAAAAGTTGCAAATAGGGAAGGAAAGACTCCCTAACGTGGACACAAACAGCAATAAAAACCAGTCAGGTGTTCTAATCCCTCACCACTAGAAAACATTTTGTATTTAGCTATATTTCACCTGCCAAGTTTTTTATTATTTTCACCCTTTTTATTTTTAACGCAACTAAAGATACTTATTCTGTCTTTTTTTTTTTCCTTCTTTTTTTTTTTTTCTTTTTTGAGTGCTGAGTGCTGTCAGCAATAATAATTATTACTGCCACAACCAAACTATGTCTTATCACAGGAAATACTCCACAACAAACCACTTGGCGATGTCTAATTTCATCCACAGGACAGGATTTCCTCTTCATTGATAGTTTTTCAATTGCTGACGTTTAAATGTTAAGAGGTTTGCCCTCAACTTATACAAAGCATGACTTTTTCAGAAGGTGTTGACATGTATTGCTCTCCTAATGGATGTGAAATAGTTCATTTTGAAGGTGCAATATAATTTATAGGAATGGAACACGACCAATGAAAATTCTGTTGTAGGTCTGCAGTGCTTCTGTGTATTTCCTAAATTCCTGCTAAATAATTATCAACTATTGTGAGACTTATTATTATTGGAATGGATTAACCTGTTGCCACCCACGTAATGCCACACATACACTCTCTGGTCACTTTATTAGGTACACCTGGTCAATTGCTTGGTAACACAAATTGCTAATCAGCCAATCACATGGCAGAAAACTCAATGCATTTAAGAATCTAGACATGGTGAAGACAACTTGCTGAAGTTCAAACCGAGCATCAGAATAGGGAAGAAAGGGGATTTAAGTGACGCTGAATGTGGCATGGTTGTTGGTGCCAGACAGGCTGGTCCAGGGGCGGACTGACAACTCATGGGGCCCCCGGGCAATGGGGGATCATGGGGCCCCTGTGTCCTTGCCCAAACTCAAAAAAGTCTATGAAAAAGGTACCAGGGGCATCTCATGGGTCCCTCTACTGACCCCAGGCCCTCGGGGCAGTGCCCGAGTTTCCAAATGGTCAGTCCGCCCCTGGGCTGGTCTAAGTATTCCAAAAACTGCTGATCTTCTGGGATTTTCATGCATAATCATCTCTAGAGTTTACAGAGAATGGTCCATAGAAGAGAAAATATCCAGTGAGCGGCAGTTATGTGGACGAAAATGTCTTGTTGATGTCAGAGGTCAGAGGAGAATGGGCAGACTGGTTTGAGATG